ATACTAGCATCTTTAACTTCAATTATCTCAATAAAGCTAAACACTTCAATTTTCACAATCGATACAAACATTCCCACATATGTCCAATGTGAAAGATTATGAGGATATGAGCAATTGTTGTGAAGAAATCTTTATTTAAAAATCTAAAGCAGCTTTGTTTCCAACACAGTGCTATTTAAACAAGTACACAGCGGGATCTAATTTGTCATATTGATAACATGTCAGGTTTAGATTATGAACAAAATTTAAAACAATTATGTTGCATATACTCTATATTATCCTAATTATGTACAGCATTATAAAAAAAAATTACAAGCAGGTTTATCAACACAGAAGATCCAACAATAACTGCCTTGCTCATTCTCCGACATTGTATAGTGAGAAAAGTGGATTTCACAAGTCTCACCATGCTCACTACACTAAATATTAATATTAAGAAAATATTTACAAATTCTACAATGTCTAATAAGGCATCATTATGAATGTCAATGATGGTTACAATGGCTGCGTCTCAATTTGCAGGCTGCCTACTTCGGAGTGTATGTATGTATATATATGTGTGTCTTAGTGTTAATTTCGTTAACGAAAACTAAACGAAAATATTTTCGTCAACGCACATTTTTCACCCAACGAAAACTAGACGAGACGAGACGAAAATTCCCACTAATAAACAATATCTGGGAGTAAATCAGAAATATTTTTCGTTGACTAATAAAGACGAGACGAAAATGCAGTTTGGTAAATAAAGACTGGACTAAAATCTATGGACATTTTAGTTCACGAACAAAGACGAGACGAAAATTACATATTATTATTTTATGTTTTTTTCAAATCCTGTCTCGTCTCCTCCTCCGCATCCTCCTTGTCAGCTCCACACACCCACTTTCAAACCTGGAGCGGGCGGCACAGAGTAGCCTACTCTGGGGCTCGGGAGAAAGAGGAGACGTGACATATGGACACATTTTCACTTCATTGAAGTGGAGAACAAACCCGAATGCTTGATTTTAGTGGAAGGGAAGGAATGTGGCCACATGGTAGCTGGAAAAAACACAACCTGAAGAGACACGTCGCAGTTCACCACAAAGACATTACGGTAAGTTAACAGAAATATTGGTGGTGGTTGTTTATAATGTAACATTAATCAACAGCTATAATGTCCTAATGATAAACTAACTGATGTTGGCTAACTTTCATAGCATTTAGTATCCAGGCTGGCTACGTTACGTTAGCTTGTTAGCACGTAGCGACCGTAGCCACTTGTTGATAGAACTTAGATATGTTATACTGGCCGGGAAACTATAGTTTCAGTTACATTGCAAGTTTGATTAAAGCAGACAGATGCTTTAGGTAAACTAGGAGCAGCAAGTGAACTATAGTTAACACAAAACACCTCGGCAGCTACACATGTATGCTAAATGCTAAAACCAACTGAAACTATCGATCTTTGACAGTGTGTATCAGGATAAGAAAATTAAAATAATATGCCACACATAATTCAGAACAACTTTAACCTAGATTTTCATACACAAAATAGCCATTGCTTGGGGAACCACTGCGGGGATTTGGATGCAAACATCAATATTAATCAATATTAATACAACCAAAATGCATGCACACATAAAAATGTCTGCAATTTATTCCTGCATAAAATGATAGTTAGGTTGTTTGTATGAGTTTGAAATGGATTGTCAAATGTAGTTTTTATAGAGACTTAGTTTTTGTTAAGGAAAAAAAGAGACCTATCGGTCTCCGTCAGTCACGTGACATTTGTTGCTAAGACGCCATTTTGAGTGGAGAAGGCGTAGTGTAAACAGCCGCAGCACAGCCAAACAAAAGGACTAAAGGATTGAGTTTTTTTCGCCGACTACATGGAAAAAAGTAAGCAGAATGCGAAACTACCGTACCGGGAAAAACTTAACAACGAGGCCAGGGACCGTTACTTGGCCAAACTGTCGGATATTAACGGCATAGATCCCTATGATCTCCGGAGCAAAGACTGGAGCTCCGACGTCTCTTCACTGCCTCCGACCTCATCAGTGGACATAACCACTTACCTAGTGTTTGGCGTCAGTGCCTACACGTGCGAGGAATTCAAGGCATATAAATCACTGGAAGCACACGGACAGTTCACAAATGGCTGGGTTCAGGATCTGTTTTCCTACCGACCACAGATGTGCAACAACACAGTTGTTACTGCAAAGGTAAGCTCCCTCAGCGCTTCTCAAGCAAGCTCCTAAATGATGTTCAGTAATCAAAATATATATTTTTTTTATGCCCACGTTTACATAGCAGCCTGTCCAAGATAAGTCTGTACAGTTAACATAAGCCTGAAAACAGGGGCGGATTTAGAAAAATGGGGGCCCTAGGCAAAGACAGGCAGGGGGCCCTATGAATGTGGTCGCCAAAGTCTCCAGTAGCAGAAAAATTTTGCAAGATTTGGCGCTAGGCCCTTTTTTGATATTAAAGTGCTAGAAGAGCCTGTAAAGTCGCTCAAGTACAAAACCGCTCATTGTATCATTTTTTTTCAAATGGTTTGCTGCTGTCCTTTTAGCGAAAGCATTTATATCATTTATATCAGGATCATTTATGTCAGGAACAGCTGTATTAAACATACATGTTATGGGGGCCCCAGGAACTTGGGGCCCTAGGCACCTGCCTAGTATTGCCTAATGCTAAATCCCCCCCTGCCTGAACATATGTAAGACTCCCATCCCACTAAAACGTTTGTATCTGTGTTATGTTCCTTGTAGGTCATGCACTCTCAAAGACTAAACGACACACCACTGAAACCCTGGGCCATCATTGACCGATCAGGAGCCATATCATCTGCTCACTGTACATGTATGGCTGGGATAGCAGAGACCTGTACGCATGTAGCTGCCATGCTGTTCAAGTTGGAGGCCACTATCAGATGCAGGGAGAAAACAACTGTTACAGGAGAGCCTGCATACTGGATGATACCGAACAACATAAACAAAGTGGGAGCGGAGGTGGGACACAAGATCGATTTTACATCATCAAAAGCTAAACGGAAAAGCCTAGACCAACTCTTGGATGGTCAGGCCGAACACATGCCAGCGCTCAGAACTGTCACAAGCACCTGCACAGGCAACACCAGCACACAGGACCAGTGGAGCGCATATCTTTGTGAACTGCAGAAAGCCTCACCTAAAGCTGCTGTTTTGTCTTGTGTACCAGGATTTTGTGATTCATTTGCAGACACATTACAGCCATGTCCTGCACCAGATTCATTGTCCCGACTGCGTGATAAAAAAATGGATTGCAGTGATTTGTCTGCGTTACGGTTGCACTGCAAAACTTTGTTAAAAAAGGCAGACATTTCACAGGACCAGGCCCACTACATAGAATTGCATAGTAGATCACAGCACAGATCCTCAACATGGTATCGGTTTCGCACAGGAAGGGTAACAGCATCAACCATGCACGCAGTCTTTCGGTCAGATTTGGACAACCCTGCAGTTTCAACCGTCAAAGCAGTATGTGGCACAAACAGCGGTGCAACCAATCATTGTGCTGCCACTGTATGGGGGAGACAAAATGAACAGAGAGGGCAAACACAGTACAAACAGAAAATGGAAAACCAACACTGTGACTTTGAGCTAAGCCAGTCTGGGTTCATTATCAACCCCAAGTTTCCCCAGGTTGGAGCATCACCTGATGCAATTGTACTGTGCACCTGCTGCGGAAAAGGCTGTGTCGAGATAAAGTGCCCATTCAAGTACCGAGACAATACCATTCTGGAGGCATGCAGGAGTGGTGATAAAAATTTCTGTTTGGAAATGGTGGATGGAAAGCTGCAGCTTAAGAAGGAGCATCCATACTACAAACAAGTGCAGACCCAAATTTTTGTTGCTAATGCAGCATATTGTGACTTTGTAGTGTGGACCCTGAAAGACATTGTCGTGTTACGTGTGGCACCTGACCCCAAGCTGTGGAATGCACTCCTTGAAAAGCCACAGCAGTTCTTTGAGCGTGTGTGTCTCCCTGAACTGGTCAGCCACTTCTTCACACGTGATGCACAACGAGCACCGCTGACAGACAGCTCTGATCCTGTAAGGAAAAGACCTTGCAAGGCTGCAAAACCTCTGGCTGAAAAAGCAAACAACATTGTAGCAGCTGACAAGCTATGGTGTTTGTGCCATGGACCGGAGGCCAAAGATGACATGGTGGCCTGTGACAATGAAAACTGCCCCATCGTTTGGTTTCATTTGAGTTGTGTTGGCCTACACCTCAAAGATGCTCAGTCTGATTTTTGGCTTTGCCCTCAGTGCTCGAATTCAAAAACTTAAACTGTCTTTGTTAATTTAAATGTGTTTTGCAGTGATGTTTGTGTGTTTACATATGTTACCAGTATGTTAAGCTATTTCTTGTGTTTACTTTTGCACTGATCACTTGACACTGGAAGTGCTCAAATTTAAAAACTTAAACTGTTTTTTTTTAAGTGTGTTTTACAGTGATTTTTTTGTGTTTACATATGTTACCAGTATGTTAAGCTATTGCTTGTGTTTACTTTTGCACTAATCACTTGACACTGGAAGTGCTCAAATTTAAAAACTTAAACTGTTTTTTTTTTTTTTTTTGCAGTGTTGTTTGTGTTCACCAGACAAATGTAGCTGAGCACCTTATACTACTACCTCTTCACTTTACATATGTTACCAGTATGTTAAGCTATTCCTTGTGTTTACCTTTTGCACTGATCACTTGACAGTTAAATGCACACATAAAAACAGTTCAACTTAATATTTTTCTCAATGACCCATGTTCTTTATGCTACCAAAAAAAAGGAATATTTACAGTTTTAGAAGGTTTTAGAAGACTTTTATTATTCTAAAAAGAATGTTTACAAGTTTTCAGTGTTTGACAATTTTTTATGATGCTACAAAAGAATGTTTACAGGTTGATATTTGCAGGTTGTGGGGATATTTCTATTATGCTAATGTTTACAAGTTTTGTTGAAAAAAGTTTATTGTGCTAAAAAAGAAAGTTTACAGTGTGTACAAGCCTTCCTTATGCACAAGTAAAAAAATCAAAATGCATTTACATCTTGGGTGATTTCTGTATCTACACCACAGTTGGACAATGATTTGTCAGGGCACAGCACACAGTGACGACCTTATCCAAGAATGTGACCTCTTCTCCAGCACAGGGTAAAACCATTGAAATAGGAATAGTTCCATTTAAGATTTTGTACTTTTGACATACATTTCCAATCACCCGTTCAACATGGATTCTCAAATGTGCTATTTTCCTAGTTTCCTCCACATCTCTAGCTGCTAACTGACAGTGGCCTTTGGTGAATGCTGGGAGTTTAACTTCAGCACACAGCATGCCCACACACTCCTGTATGTCAAAACCTCTGTCAGCCAAGACCAGGTCCCCAGGCAACAAATTGTCAAGGAAGCCACTGTTCAGCGTGATGTGTTTGTCGCTTGTACGACCTCCCCAGCCTTTGGACAAAAAACAAATGGCTCCTTTGGGTGTCACACCTATTAAATATTTCATGGTGTGATTGTGCTTGTAGCTGGAGAACATTTGGGCACGCGCTTTTAGGTTTGATGGTTTTTCTGTAAATATCTCAAAGCAGTCAATAATCACTGCTACTCTGTTTCCAAAGGCCTCCTTGAACTGATGTGGCATTACTTTGCGGAGAGTGTCTCTGTCTGGCCATATAATAGCACGCCTCAAATTTGCATAAAGACATGAAACCATATCATGAAATGTTCTTTGTGCAGTCCTAGGAGAAATATGAAACAGATAAGCAAGGTGCTGCAGAGGCAAATCCAATCTTAAGCGCATGAGTGTGAATAGGAGCATCTGAAAAGGAGTAAGACATTTCTTTTGATATGACATGAGTGGCAATAAAAAATTAAAGAGCGCCAGGAAGGTTGCAAGGTTTGGCAGACCAGTGTAATACTTTACTTTTTCATCATCAGCTCCAAAGAAACTATCGGATATCATGTTCTCATTAAGTTTGCGTCGCAGTTCTATATTCTCTTCTGTCAGGCGGTTGACCTCTGCACGCCTGAGCACACACAGGTCACATTCAGGCTGAGTCACAGTTTCAGTGGGGTTCTGCACCTCCTTGTTTGTGATCAGCTGAGGGTTTTCTTCTCCATCCTCTCTGATCTCCTGCTGAGGGTTTTTTTCTCCATCCTTTCCAACCTCCAGCTGACCATTTCCTTCTTCAGCATCACATGTCTCCTCGGTCTGTAGCCCGTCAGTGTTTACATCCTGGTGTATGCCTGTCTCTGCTGACTGAAGGGTCTGTTTCCGTGTCTGCTCCCGTGCCCTTCGTCTGGCAGAGCGACCAGGGTCTGTTGGTTTGATAAACGTGTGTCCAAGATGTAAGGATGGGGCCCAGTCTGGGTCACTCTCCATCATCTCATAAGCTGGCTCACCTGAAACCACATGTTAGGTTTGATTTAGAAAGCAAGTTCATACTGGATAAGGCTATGTCTTATATCAAATTAATTAATTAATTTAATATGGGTGTTTAAATTTGTTTTTGAAATAATAAAAAATAATAAGTTAGAATAATGGTGATTATGAATAATAATAAAACACAAATAATGCATTTTCTGACGTTTTTTAAGTAATATTAAAAGTTTATGTTACCTTTATGAAAGTGCCGAGAACAAACACACGTGGGGGAATGTTTTGTTGAAAATGAGATCCTTTCTCCTCACTGCTGAAAGCCAGGCCATGCGACGTCTCTTTGTTATTTCCTCCAATTGAGGTCCGTGTGATCTTTTCCAGGTTGGAAAACGGAAAAAACGGATTCCTTCGTCCCCCGATCTGCCATGCCGGGACTGGCAGCCTCTCACACAACACGATCGGGCCATTTCAGGTTAATAATTGTGCCGAAAGAACAGCCGCGTGTGGGTTAACTCGACTTCCCGCCTAATATGGTGGTTTTCCCACGATGCACCGCGCCCGAGGTAAACAATGATGTCACCTGGCGGAGACCGATATGCTACTTATACACTTGGAATTCCTGTTATGCTGTTTATCTATCCTGACATTGTATTAATTTCTGTTCCAGATTGAAGATACATCGACCACCAACAACCATCCAGAAACAATGACAGGCCAGCTATACAAGCTTCCTTAATTGCCCACACCAAATACAAAGCTGACTCTCAGGACCAGCAAGCTATGCCTTGTTTCACATAAATACTGTACCTTTATAAACCATGTGAACTAGCTGGCAGGAAAGCACTTTTGTTGTATCAGTTGGAGTTATTTTTTTCACATCATTGATCTCAAATCTATTTATTTCTATCTATTTATTTTATTATTCTATGTGAACTAGCTTTAAACAGCCAGCAGTTGTGTTAAGTTCATAAAACACTTTATTTTATTTATTTGTTTCCTTTGTCAGGTGTATTTTATTTGTTTTAATGCAAGCATTTGTGTTTGTGTCTTTAAACCTTAACAATGTTCAAAATAAATATGCAAATATTGTCAGAACATCTTCCATGTCTGCATTTGTTCCTTAAATTAGTGGGGGGTTTTTTATCAAAAAGATGAGAGAAAATGTTGAAATGTGAAATCATTTTAGGAAATGTTAAATATTATCTGCTGACAAAAAAGTAAATGGTTAAAATTATGTCCTGACTAAAACTAGACTAAAATGTTGACGGTTTTTGTTGACTAAAACTAAACTAATAAAATTATGTTTTCTTGGACTAAAATAAAGACTAAAATGCTCGACTTATAGTCGACTAAAACTAGACTAAATAAAAATGGGATGATGTCGACTAAATGTGATAAAAACTAACAAGCGATGCTGAAACTGGACTAAGACTAAAACTAAATTTAAAAATGGCTGCTAAAATTAACACTAGTGTGTTTAGGGAAATAACATCTTTCATTTATTATTTTCATGTTAATTTACAATTTGAGTAAGCTTGAAAAAGTAATCTCCAGGTTACCATTCCAAAGTCTTTTTCTGTTGAATTTCATCAATCCATCCAAATCATCAAACATTCCTTTTTTCTAGCTTTAAAGAAACACTGCAGTCACCTGGCCCTGGTTTGTCCTCATGGATGAGGTATTAGGACAGAGGCCGTCATTTGCCCCACCTGTCCTAATTGCCTCCATCCCTGAGGACACACCAGGGCTAGATGCTGCAGAGGCTGAGCAGCACACAGATGAGCTTGGAGTCTTCTGACTGCGAGTGGGACATCATCTGGGGGGTGGGGGGGATGCCTCTCTCCACTGTTCACCACAACGTCCATCAGGGTTTGCAGGGCTGACCCAATCAACGGCTGCCATGTTACTAAAAAAGTTTAAAAAGACGGAGAAAATAATGACTTTACTAAAGCTGTTTTCATAACCCTGAAATAAGAACAGCTAAAATGTGATTCTACTTGCCATCTAAATGTAATGGTGGTCGGGTAGACCCTCCTCCAGGGCAGACACCTCAGCAGACAGCTGGTCCCTCCAGTGAGCACCACTGACTACTTTCAACACGTTCTCCCCCTCCTCATCCTCTGGCGCCGTGATGTTACCGGCTCCCAGGAAGATGTTGTGCAGGACAGCTAATGCCGTTATGACCTGTAGAAAAAAATAGACAAAAACATTTACTTTTATTCAGTCATCTATCTTTTTTCATTATCTTTATTACATGATTTATTAGAATATAAATTGTACTTGATCTAGATCCACTATTTAACCTATTTTTTCCTTTTTATATTTAGATTTTTTACCTGTATTATGGTTTTTTATATATATAATTGCAAATAAAATCAGGCAGTAAGGGGATAACAATTTAGACAAAAAATGATTTATTTCTCAACAGTTTGGCTTCTCAACACAACATTAGTGATAGTGAAAGTAGTGATTTAAGTCAGTTATTTACAGGGTTTGTACACATTTAACTATTCAATTCAAATGACTAAAGTTACAAACAAATAAATTACAAACCTACAAATAAATATAAAATTTGATATTTAAACATATTCATCAATCTGCTGACAAGCGTTTATTTAATAACTGGTATACAGTGATGGGCAGTAGCGCCGCTACATGTAGCGAAGCTATTAGTTTAACTACATTTTCCAGTAGCTTGACCGTAGTGTCGCTGCTTTATTTATCAAGTAACTTTCCAGTAGTGACGTTATTGTTTTTATCAAGTAGCGACGTAGCGTCCACAAACACTACAAAATCCAGGGCATAACTAAGAAATGAAACCAGGTTTTCTATTTTTGAAACAAGAGCCAGAGCCGCAGGATTTTAGTGAGGAGTTTACCCTCAGCGTCCAGACTGCAAATGAAGCACGCATGCGCCGGGATTGACGGCGCAAATTGATCACAATAATTAAAATAGCCTGCGCTTTTTAAAGTGAAAAAAATCGTAACATGCAACTTTTGTAAAAACAAATGAACATGGCACGGAACCACCACTGTTATGACGCAGCACTTGAAAAGAAAAGACGTTGGAGCCTTCAATGGCAGTGAAGAGAGCTGATCAGCAGGATGAGCGACCATGTTTGTTTGGTTTTAAAGTGAGGAAACGTAACGTTAGTTTCTCAGGTAGCTCATCTGATGCTTTCCTTACCTTGTTAGTAGGTTACAGACAGTGATAAGGTTGGCTACTTATTTTACTTTTAATTTTATTTGAATTAGCTTAAGCAACGTTTATATTTTCTTTAAAAATAAATGAACTTGCAAATTATGAGGGAAAGGCTTTTAAAGTTTAAATCTTCTGGCAAAGATAAAGAAGATCCTGCAATTTATGGAAGTAAAGCAGAATAAAATCCAGCAAGATCAGTAATATGTCAATTAATTATCTGCCACATTCCCATGTAAATATCTGTCTTTGGAGGATGTGTTTTTTAGCACCACTAGTTCTCTCATTTTTATTCCAAATACAATTTATAATTTGAATCACAGGGCTATTTTTATCTCTATGGTTCAGTATTTTCTCAAGCAGCAACTTTAACTGCTATACTTTCCTGTCTTAAAAGGCAGAACTCTTCTAGTCTAAAAAAACCCCTCATTTGTTGAAATGGGGGGACCTATTGTTTGAGCCCCTTAGAGGCTTTTAAAAACAAAAATGTCTTTTTTGCGCTTTATGAAACAAAGTTTCATAGTGTGGAGCGGAGCAACCCGGACTCCTTAGTTATTGTCCTTGGTGACTTTAATAAAGGTAACCTCAGTCATGATCTTCCTAAATACAGACAGTTTATTAAATGCCCGACCAGAGAGGATAACATTCTGGATCACTGTTACACCACCATCAGGGATGCTTATCACGCTGTCCCCCGTGCTGCACTGGGCCAATCCGACCACGTCATGGTCCACCTGATTCCTGCTTACAGACAGAAACTAAAGCTCTGCAAACCTGTGGTGAGGAAATCAAAGAATTGGACCAGTGAGGCTGTGGAGGATCTTCAGGCGTGTTTGGGTTCTACTGACTGGGACGTCTTCAGGGCTGCTACCAACAGTCTGGATGAGTTCACAGAGGCTGTGACATCATACATCAGCTTCTGTGAGGACTGCTGTATTCCAACACGAACCAGGGTGAATTACAATAATGACAAACCCTGGTTCACTGGCAAACTCAGAAGACTTAGGTTGGACAAGGAAGAGGCCTTCAGGAGCGGAGATAAATGCAGATTCGAAGATGCAAAATACAAGTTTAGCAAGGCGTTGAAAGAGGCTAAACGACTGTACTCTGAGAAGCTGCAAAACCATCTTTCTGCCAACGACTCTGCCTCTGTCTGGAAAGGGCTTAGGCAGATAACAAACTACAAGCCTAAAGCCCCCCACTCCATGAACGACCGACAGTTAGCCAACGACCTGAACAACTTCTACTGTCGTTTCGACAGACAAAGGGACAGTCATACATCCACCCCCCACAACACCACCCAACAGATCACCTCCACCTCCTCCTCCTCAGTGACAACTCTTTCCATAAAAGAGAGAGATGTAAACAAAACATGCAACATTTTTAACACCTCACTGGCGACATGTCACGTGCCAGCCTGCTTTAAATCCTCCACAATCATCCCTGTCCCCAAGAAGCTAAGGACCACAGGACTTAATGACTTTAGACCCGTCGCCCTGACCTCTGTGGTCATGAAGTCCTTTGAGCGTCTTGTGCTGTCACACCTGAAAGAAATAACGGACCCCCTCCTGGACCCCTTTCAGTTTGCCTACAGAACCAACAGGTCTGTAGATGACGCTGTCAACCTGGCCCTTCACCACATTCTCCAGCACCTGGACTCCGCAGGAACCTACGCCAGGATCCTGTTTGTGGACTTCAGCTCGGCCTTCAACAAAATCATCCCAGCTCTGCTCCAGGAGAAGCTCTCCCAGCTGAATGTGCCTGACTCCACCTGCAGGTGGATCACAGACTTCCTGTCGGACAGGAAGCAGCACGTAAAGCTGGGAACACAGTTCTCTGACTCACAGCTCATCAGCACTGGTTCCCCCCAGGGCTGTGTTCTTTCTCCTCTGCTCTTCTCCCTGTACACCAACAGCTGCACCTCCAGTCATCAGTCTGTCAAGCTCCTGAAGTTCGCTGACGACACCACTCTCATCGGACTGATCTCCGATGGTGACGAGTCCGCCTACAGGTGGGAGGCTGACCATCTGGTGACCTGGTGCAGGGAGAACAACCTGGAGCTCAACGCTCTAAAAACAGTGGAGATGGTTGTGGACTTCAGAAAGAGCGCAGCCCCTGCTACCCCCATCACCCTCTGTGACTCCACCATTGACACTGTGGAGTCTTTCCGCTTCCTGGGAACTATCATCTCGCAGGACCTAAAGTGGGAGCTGAACATAGACTCCCTCACCAAGAAAGCCCAGCAGAGGATGTACTTCCTGCGGCAGCTGAAGAAATTCAACCTGCCCAGGACAATGATGGTGCAGTTCTACTCCTCCATCATTGAGCCCATCCTCACTTCCTCCATCACCATCTGGTACGCTGGTGCCACCGCTAAGGACAAGAGCAGACTGCAGCGTGTCATCCGGTCTGCAGAGAAGGTGATTGGCTGCAACCTCCCATCTCTCCAGGAGCTGCACGCCTCCAGGACTCTGAGGCGTGCAGGGAAGATTGTGGCTGATCCCTCGCACCCCAGTCACAAACTATTTCAGTCACTACCCTCTGGCAGGAGGCTGCGGTCCATCAGGACCAGAACCTCCCGTCACAAAAACAGTTTTTTCCCATCTGCTATCGGCCTTATCAACAAGGCCAAGACCCGCCCGTGACACTGAACAATGTTTCTCTCCCCCATTCAGGATTTCTGCGTTACATTAACACACAGTCTACTGTTTCTATATAGCTTCTGTATATATATATATATATATATATATATATATTAGGGCTGCAACTAACGATTATTTTAAAAATCGATGAATCGGACGATTATTTTTTCGATTAATCGATGAATCGGACAAAAAATATTTTTTATATTAACCTCTTTATTCCAAAATAAACATTTTAGACAGAACAAACAAGCACACAAGTACAGGTTGCTCATTAACTGTACTGGTGCTATATGAAAAATAAATGTTTGTGTTAAAACTACGCAAACTTACATGAGAAATGTAGCTGTACATCCACAAAATATAGGGTACTTTGTTTCATAAAGCGCAAAAAAAGACATTTTTGTTTTTAAAAGCCTCTAAGGGGTTCAAACAATAGGCCCCCCCCATTTCAACAAATTAGTTTTTTTTAGACTAGAAGAGTTCTGCCTTTTAAGACAGGAAAGTATAGCAGTTAAAGTTGCTACTTGAGAAAATACTAAACCATAGAGATAAAAATAGCCCTGTGATTCAAATTATAAATTGTATTTGGAATAAAAATGAGAGAACTAGGGGTGCTAAAAAACACATCCTCCAAAGACAGATATTTACATGGGAATGTGGCATATAATTAATTGACATATTACTGATCTTGCTGGATTTTATTCTGCTTTACTTCTATAAATTGCAGGATCATCTTTACTTTATCTTTGCCAGAAGATTTAAACTTTAAAAGTCTTGCCCTCATAATTTGCAAGTTAATTTATTTATAAAGTAAATATAAACGCTGCTTAAGCTAATTCAAATGAAATTAAAAGTAAAATAAGTAGCCAACCTTATCACTGTCTGTAACCTACTAACACGGTAAGGAAAGCATCAGATGAGCTACCTGAGAAACTAACGTTACGTTTCCACACTTTAAAACCAAACAAACATGGTGGTTCCGTGCCATGTTAATTTCTTTTGAAAAAAGTTGCATGTTATCACTTTTTTCGCTTTACAAAGCGCAGGCTATTTTAATTATTGTGATCAATTTGCGCCGTCAATCCCGGTGCATGCGCGCTTGATTTGCAGTCTGGACGCTGAGGCTCTGACTGAGAGGGACTCCTGCGGGAAAACGCGGTTGGGGTGGGGGAGGCGCCCCACGGCAGAGTAGGAACGATACATGCTTTCACGTAAGAGTCTCCAAAAGCCGCCAGTGACACCGAAAAAAGTCGCCAGATTTGTCGCTAGTCGCTTTTTTGAAAAATAGTCGCTGGAGGGGTCTGAAAAGTCGCGGAGTTGGCAACATTGCACCTGCGGCGCTGACTCGCTCTGCCGTATTTTTTTTTCTTCCTCTTTCAGTCAAGAGGCAGTGATGACGGCGCGGCGGATGACGCAATAATCGCGCGACACAACTAATCGATGATGAAATTCGTTGCCAACGCTTTTAAAAGTCGATTTTTATCGATTTTATCGATTCGTTGTTGCAGCCCTAATATATATATATATATATATATATATATATATATATATATATATATATATATATATATATATATATATATATATATATATTTATATATATTCTATCTTATTTTGTTATTTTGTTTTGTTTTGTTTTTTTTTTTGTCTGCACCAACAACACCAAGTCAAATTCCTTGTAAGTGCAAACCTACTTGGCAATAAACTTGATTCTGATTCTGATTCTGAAGACAGCAGCAGCTGATATTGAGCTCAGTAATCTCTCACTCAGATCCAGAGGTTCCCTGATTTATGAACACTTCTATGATAATTTTAGCCATTTTCTTTGCCATTTGTTACACAAGGGCTCTGCATTTCTTTCTTATTTGAATTGAATTTATGCTTTTTTAACACACAAATGAGTGTACAATATCTTCACCCTTTTAATCTTAACTTTGTAGCTGGGTCGTGCTCTCCAGTCTTTAATTTACATGAACGTCCACAGAATTAGAATTTGCTTATCTGTGTGGTGTGATATGAATTCTTGCTTAAAAAAAATTATTAACCCAACCTTGTCTGAAATTCATGTTTTAAAGCCTTTTTTGGTGTGGATTCTTGCAATGGGGAGGTAAGTGATATGACAACTAACAGGATAAATAGAGAACATCACACTGGGAGCAATAGAAGACTCTCGGCTGACTCAAACCACTCTGAACACCTTCCTTCTGTGAGGACACACTGAAAAAGTAAGATCAATGTTATGTTTTTGCAGAACCTGTGCTGTAAAATACCTTAAATGCACAGTTTTATTTTAATCACATTTATGACAGAAAAAAAACGTTGCCTTCTATTTTTTAATTAACTTCTTTATATTATCTACAATTCCTCTGCTTTTTCTTCCAATATTTTTTCAAGTGTATTTTAAATTCTAGGTTTTTCTTTCTTTAAGGGAGACCTTCAAGGATGTCTTTTTTTTTTTGCAAGGCTTTATAATTTCTTTCTGCTTATTTTATGTGCATTCTGAGTTAGGAATTACAATGAAATTTCATGGTGGTTTTATATTGATGATAACGTTTTTTTTTATTTCTTAAATTCTCAATCTCTTGATCACTATCTATGCAGCACTAAATTGACTTAGATATGATATTTGGTTATGCAGCATGCTGTTTGACATAGTTTTGGTTTTCTTTTCTATCAGTTGGACCACATGGACTCCAGTTCTCTGAAGGTTCCTACCCTGGGAAGACCCTTTTCCTTGGGGATGCTGTATAACGCTCACACAGATGAGCTGATAACAGGTACCACTAATGGATATGGTGAAAGGCTCTAATTACTAATTTCACACACTAGTTTATCGATAAATCTTCCTTTCATGGTCTCCATTTCCCCCAGTGAAAGACAGACACATTTAAAATTAGTAACATTATTGCTATATGCACTCTAAGTAATAATAGGCCACCTTCTCTGTAGTTATAACATATATAGAAACAAAAATGGATTTAAAAACACTGTAAGACATTAGGTACTTCAATCAAATAGTGCATTGATCATTTGATATGTGAAAGTATAAAAACAGCAGCAATAAATCAGACTGTTGTGTATATATTTGTATATGTTATTGTACCTTTTGGCCACGGTTGCAAATTGGTGAAACCAACTTAATGCCCTGCTGTAAAATCAGATAAAAACACATGAAGGATAGAAAAATCAAAAGCACACAAACATATGAAAAATAAAAGACAGTATAAGATTACGGCTATGTTAAGAATAGACGTGAAAGAGAATGTACAGTTACTTTTATTTCTCTAGTTTACTTCTGGCCATCCTCCTAATGGTTTTGCTGAGGGCCTGGTTCTATCATTTTGGTGTGTCACTCCATCTAGTGGCCTGGTACAATTCTTAATTGTAGAGCAAGTTTGTGGCATTTTAAATAGCATTTTAATATTTAGAGCAATTTCCCCTTTTACTTCAGTTTAAATTTCTGTGACTTTATCATTGTTTTGCAGTTTCTTTTAACTTTTTTGCTATTGTTTTCGCATGATTCTTATTTTACAGCGTGCTCTGTCAAATGCTGTAGGTTTTGTTGTCTGCTGTTAATTTGCACCTGTCCAGCTGAGCTTTATAGATTTGACAAATATTTAATAATAGAAAAAATATATATATGTCCAAAAATTGTTTGAAGAAAATATGTATTCATCAGTCATGCTGTGGATATTTATTAAGGTTATTAGAGCTTAAAAATGCAAAAAAAGAAAAAAAAAAATAGAATTAATTGAAAAACAAACATGGGCTGCTCAGTGAAGCACTGCTGCCTTGCAGCAAGAAGGTTCCCGGTACGATTACTGGTCTTGGGTCTTTCTGCTTAGTTTGCATGTTCTCCCTTAGCATGAGTTCTCTCTGGGTACTCTGGCTTCCTCGTACAGTCCAAAAAACATGGTTATGTTATGTTATAACATGTTATGTTATTTGGCTTCTCTAAATTCTCCTTAGGTGTGTGTGAATGGTTGTTTGTCCTGTTTGTGTCTGTGTTGCCCTGCGATGGACTGGCGACCTTTCCAGGGTGTACCCCGCCTCCCACTTCTAGAGATAGGCTCCAGCACCACTCGCATCCCTGCTCGGGATAAACGTGAAGGAAAATGGATGAACAGATGGAAAAACAAACATGATAAAGAGACAAAAAAGACTAGACAAATGTATGAAAACTTAAAAGATCAAGCAAGATAAACCTCACTTGACTATAGCTTCCAACATTTGATTGACTGCTCAATATGAACGTTTCCTGTGGGCTGCTGGGAATGTTGCCCCATGTGACAAAGATGGTTGTCACATTGTCGGGGTTCCCCTCTAGTGTTCAAACTGGCAAATCTGTGGTGTGGTAAAAGCTGGACTGAAAGTCTTCATATTGGTCCGGGAGCTGCATTTGTTTCCATATTAATTGCTCATTTCAGAGGCTAATTTGCTGACATCCACTGCTTTTCTTTTTTTGTTCTATTGCCATAAGAACCTTTAAAGAATTTAATATTTTATTTTATAGTTTATCTTTTCCCCTCCTTTTCCTTTTACATTTTCAATCTTACCTAGTAAAGATTCAATAGCAGAAAAATCTAAATTTTTGTCATTTCTTTGCCAGTCTCAAGAATTTTCATTTATATGCGACATACTGATGCTGAAAGTTAGTTTATAATGTAGATATTTCTGTTAATTGCTCACAAATATAATTTTAATTTCAGGCAGTGTATACATCCAACTGTCAAAGTCATAAAGAAAGATGTAATTAGAGTTTGTCTGTCTAACAGTGGTTTCCATTTTTCACAGGAATTTCACTGTGGGAAAGTACCATTCTGGAGAATAAAACAAAGACAAAGAATAACCACAACAGTTCTTTCCAAGTAACATCCTCTGATTCTATTCAAGAAAAGTCCTCTCTCTTGGATCTTGGAGCTTCTTTTAAAGCTAGTTTCTTGAGTGGTCTGATTGAAGTCGGTGGCTCTGCCAAGTATCTGAACGACAAGAAGAAATTCAAAAATCAGAGCAGAGTGACCCTCCAATACAAGGCCACTTCTTACTTCTCTCGTCTGTCCATGACACATAGTGAAGCGCAGAGTGCAGCCAGGCTCAGTGATGAAGTGAAGAGCATGGCAACACATGTGGTGACAGGCATTCAGTATGGTGCAAACGCTTTCTTTGTCTTTGACAGTGAGAAGTTAGAGTCCACTCAAGTTGAGGACTTCCAGGGAACCTTGGAGGGTGCAATAAATAAGATCCCCAAATTAAATGCTGAAGCTAACATCTCAATGTCACTGAGTGACAAAGAAAACTCTGTCCTCAAGAGAATCTCCTGCAAATTCTATGGGGACCGGTGGATGTCTGACAAAGAAGCAGAAGTAACTGCCTTGAACATCTGCCTCAAATCAATGGAGGGCGTTAAAATGGTTTCCAATGAGTCCCAGCTGAAAACAGAAATATTTGCTCAAGGTGTGGTTCATGCTCTGTGCTTCACTTTCACCTCTCTGGAGGATGATGACCCATACATTGATCAGATGGAGAGGTCCCTTCACTCACATGACCTGAAAAGCCTTCAGAATATCTATGAGCCTAAACACGACCAGTGGTACCGTTCAAATGCAATGATACAAGAACTCCGTGGAAAAGCCCAAGAATTCCAAAACATGGCCAAAGGCCTGAAAGCCAACAGCAAATTCATTTTCCTAGTAGCTGCAGCAAACAATACCAAATACCAAGGAGCAAGCATCTACTATTACAAGGAAGGGTGTCTGGTCTCAGAGGATTTTTCAAAGCCAGGCGTCCCTCCAGTGGAGAATATAACAAGCAAAGAAGATCTGATTTGGTGTAAGTTATATATGGCATTTAATTTTATTTATGACAAACAAGCAAAGAAAAGACCCTCTGCTAGAATGTCTTCTGATTTGGAAATTGACTTTCTCAAAACAAAATTTCATTGAGGTTTCTCCTTGGGTTTTTTAAATTCTTTTCAGGATATTGAAACTGTAATATTCAACAAAATGTTACATCTATTATCTTTCAGTGTTTATTTAACAGACTGTCCCTTTCTTTCCACCAGATGCCTGTGATCTGACGCTGAACCCAAATACAGCAAATAATTATCTCATTCTTTCAGATGAGAACAAAAAAGCAACATGTACATCAACATGGCAGTACTATGACAGCAGTGATGGGCAGTAGCGCCGCTACATGTAGCGAAGCTATTAGTTTAACTACATTTTCCAGTAGCTTGACCGTAGCATCGCTGCTTTATTTATCAAGTAACTTTCCTGTAGCGACGTTATTGTTTTGATCAAGTAGCGACATAGCGTCCACAAACGCTACAAAATCCAGGGCAAAACTAAGAAATGAAACCAGGTTTTCTATTTCTAAACAACAATAGGCCACAAAACTACTGTAAATAGCAGTTTCAGCTGATGCTCTTATAAGTGGCGTAGTAGCACAGGCACACTCAGTAGGGTTAAACAAGCGCACCCTTTCCCAGGCTGTCGTTCTATTGGCTGGAAAGGTTGCTAGGCAACGATCCAACTGCAGTCTCAGAGAGCAAAACAAATCCGCAAGCAGAGCCTACGGGTTTGCGAACGTAACAGAGCGCGGTTTGTGCGCGAAGAGAAGGAGGCAAGCGAGAGGAGAAAATATCTGTGCAAGAAGCATTAAATCTGAGAGAAGAAACAAAGATTTGAGAGAGAAGAGAAAATATTTGAGAGAGAGCGCATGTTTTGAGTGTGAGCATTATAAGTTTTGAGAGCAAGAAGATGAAATTCTTTTATCTAATTGAAGTTATGTGCTCTTGCATTATGGCAGGATAATTCCCCTATATGTGCCACTAAGATACTCTAATTAGAGAGCAGTAGTCAAACTTAGATATTGTATTTTCATGGCCTAGTTTACCTGACAGGATGTTTACATAAATCTGTTTTTAGGCTTTGCACAGATAAGATTTTTTATGGAGGAACAGCTCTACCGTATATAAAATAAATACATAAATAAATAAATGCTCCCCATAAATAAATAAATAAGCATTCAATTAATTGCCTCCAAAAATACAATGAATAAATATGTAGGTAGAAATTAAATTATATGGTGAGACATATATATATGTATCTCTTAATTAGCTTCTTTATTTTTTCACCTTCTTTTGTAAACAGTTTTGTTTGTTACTTGAATCAACTGTTTAATTGAGATCTTTTGTAGGGTTTTGTTTTCCCTAGAGATGTCCATTGAATGCAAACTCATAGCCATGTCTCGGTGTGTAGAACACTACACAGTACCTTTAATTTGGTTCTAATAACAGCAGATTGTTTACTAGTTTGTCTACTAGTAATTACTTTAGTTTTTATTTTAATATGCTGATCATAAAGCAATTTTTACACTGATATGTCATTGGCTGATCTTTAATAAATATTTTAACCAGTGCATCAGACTCATTTTGAATTGACATTAGGTTGGTACAACGTTAAGTAGCTTCTGATGTAGTTAAGCTACTTTTAACACATTAGTGTAACTTAGCTTGCTATAATTCTTAAGGTGGTAGCTTTGGTGTAGTGAACCTTAATTTATTGTTGAGTAACTGATAGCTTAGCTCACTACACTGGACAAGTAGCTTGCCCAACACTGTATGACAGTCACCCAGAGAGGTTTGAGAAGCCTAAAGTGCTGTGTAACGAAGTGTTGTGTGGGCGCTCTTATTGGGAGGTGGAGTGGAGTGAAGATCTAAACGTTGGTATAGGTGTTGCATACAAATCACTTGAAAGATATACGAGCCTTGGGAGTTCTGACAAGTCTTGGTATTTTGGCAGAGGGCAGGGCTTTGAGGCATGGAACAATGACCAGGTATGGGTCGGTAAACTAATTCCTGTTGGATGCAATAAAATTGGAGTGTACCTGGATTTTCAAGATGGGACTCTGTCTTTCTACATGGTGTCAGGTCAAAACTTAGAACACCTCTACACCTGCAAAACTTCATTCAATGACCATGTCTATCCAGGTTTTTACATTTATCCAGCCAATGGGTACTGCATGCTAACTCCTGTCCAGTAGTGCTGGACAGGAGTCCCAACTTAGCTCTGTGGCTTGTTCAAGGGGTTTTTCTGCTGTTGACTTATAGTTAAGCCCAGAGTTATGCGTAACACTGGTAGTTTATGTTTTAATAGCTTTTAATTTAGTCAAGAACTGCATGGTTGCTACACATTATTATATGTTTTATGTGTTTTGATTTTTGCTTACAGACTGCATAGTCCAGGAGTATAAAAATAGAAATTAGAAACACCAAAAAACTGTGGCTCATTTAATGTTTTTGTTGTTTTTATAGGCAAAAGTGAAGCTTGATTTACATTAATCTATGGTGACAGTGGCGGCTGTTGGAGTGTTCTCCGGGGGGAGGGGGATGGGGGGGTTGGGGGATACAAAACAGGTTTACTTTTTGTACGTAAGTTTGCACTTCTGAGGCCATCCATCCATTTAAGGGAGAGATCCTGGTGCCTATCTCCAGCTGTCTACGGGCAAGCAGCGGGGTACACCCTGGACTGGTTGTACCCAGTCCATCGCAGGGCCCTTCTGAGGCTTTGTGAAGGCAAATCTGTGTTTTGCATGGTCCAATATTGTCACAAAGCTAAAAAAAATAAAGTACCAGTTTAATAATGGAGAAGCTATTAGTCAGCTTTACTTTTTCTTAATAAATAAAAACTATTTCTTTTCTGAGAATGCTTTTATTAAAGGGCAACTATTCAATTAACAGACATGTAAAAAAGCACACTATATTCTATTATTTTCCATGTGAACGCAAGATTGTTCATGCTTCTTTAACTTTTATTAAAAAAAATGCTTTAAATCCGTCCTACTTGTCTTTATCCATGCTGGGTCAGATCCTGACGTTTGAAAAAAGGAGGCCAAGCCTTGTAGCTAAACTACGCGACTCTGCACTATGGCGGGAGGGGGTGAGCAAATACACTTTGTCACCTCGGGGCGAAACTCTCCTGTGCCCCGAGCTCTCCTATACATTTGTATTGCAGAGGAGCTTCTGTGCATTTACAACTTTTAACAAGAGTCAATGGGCAAAGATTTTTGCCCACTACGGTGGAAATAAATCACTAATCTGACAAAAAATGGAATGATGTTTTACTAGTCATTAAAGATTAAATATTTGTCTTTCACATTTAAAAAATATATATTGATATATTTCGAAATATTAAAATTTTTAATTTAAAATTAAATTATAAAAAAAAAAAAGTGTGCTCAGGGTCATTGAGTGGTTGGGGTGGCACACCAGCGCCCTCTATTGGCCAGCTGCTGCCAAATCCTAAATTGAAATATATATTTTTTGTACTTCAAGTAAAATTAAAAGCTGAACTACAACATTTGCGCATAAGTATTTGAACCATGTTCTTTTAAATCTACAGTCTAGATGGTGGTGGGTCAGATCTTCAAACGCTGCAATAACTATATATGTTACCTTAAGTTCCCTAATATAATAGAAATGGTGTGTTTATGGTTAGAATTTAGGATTTTTTGGTTATGTTTCTTTTAAACTTGATTTATCAATAGTCTGTGTGAAACTATTTTCTTTTACATGATAATTTCTTTATAAAATTATTATATGCCTGCAGTGAAATTTACATGACTGTCTTGATTTAAGTTCAGAAAGAAATTCTTTTTGGCCGAGATTTACGGTTAACTGTTTTTTAAACTTGATTAATTTGAAAACAAAAGCTATCTCCTCATTTCCATCTAGTAAAGATATCGAAGGAGATTAAATAGCTTGCCACTAATTGAAATTGTAATAAAAGGAAAAAATGAATGAAAGCTGTTGGACATGTTTGTTCTGTTGCTCATCAAATTTAATGAAGCAGAGTGTTAAGTTTATCATTGTGTGAGATCTCATGATTTCTTTTGATTTAACATTTTTTCTTTTCCACTGCAGGAACACTTTAGTTAAAAATTTAGTTCAGAATCTTCCTATGTTCTTTAATCTACAATAGTACTCCATCGTTATTTCTACTGTTGAAGAGGGGGCTGTACCATGATGTTTTAAGCGTGCCAAAAGTTCCACATGAATCTGAAGTGGCAGTGATGGATCCTAAAACCTTGTCCACCTTCAGGTGTTTCTGTAACTTGTTTACAAGTGGATTCCAGTTCCCAATGTTAGTTTTTGATATTTCTTTAGCCAATATGATCTATTTTCTCTGCAGACAAAAAAACTAAACAAAAGTATTGACATTTTAAACATTTGAAAAGGAAAAGAAAGTAATATTCAAAATAAAGAATGTTCTTCATTATCTTAACAAACAGATATTTATTATCTGGGTTGTTATCTGTTGCCAGAAAAGGGAAATTTAGATTTTTAGCAGTGTTAACACATAAATCAGCCACGACAACAGCCATTAAATAGTTAAATAATCTTCAAAATAAACTCCAAACTGTTTTAATTTATGCTTTACGTGTTTTTAATAAAACACAACAAATAAACATTTACACTACTCATCCAAGAGTTAAGTCTGTATTTACTGTGTTTGTTGCATTTCTACAATGTTGGGCCTTTTTGACAGCACTTTCTGTTTTAAACTCTGTTAAGGCTATTTAAATTGGATGACCCAGTTCTTTATTCCTGGGGGAGTTTTCAGAGTGATGCAAAGAAAGGAAAAACGTCTTCAGAGATTAAAAAAATTTAAATCACATGTGGGGTTCCCCAATGCTCCATTCTGGGGCCCCTTCTCTTCAATATCTAGATGCTCCCCTTGGAGTATGTATGTATGTTGAGATGTATTTAGTAAAATACAACACAAATCACAATCCTTATTGGTTCAATGAGGGATGAAATGTTTAACTGCCAAATCAAAGACGATTGCATATTTTTATGGACGGATGGTAATCCTACCTTCATTAGGTGCGGATACATTTCTACCAACATCCTGTGACTGACAATCTATAAGCTGCTTGATCCAAACTTTGTCCTCTAAATGCAGACTTTCACTGTCGATTTTACAGACATGATCCCCTTCCTTTATGCTATCTTTTTCCTAACAAAAGGCTCAGAGATTTGGGCCTGCTCAAAAAAAGGATCTAGCTTTAGAATGAATCTCTAAAAGTAATTATGTAAGACAGTGATTCCCAACCTGGGGTCCGCTGCCCCTAGTGGCCCATGAGTGCAATGCAAGGGGTACATGAAAATACTTTATTTTTTAGGTAGTAAAATAAAATAGGGCTGGGATCTGTTATGCTTTGTGATAACCCAATTAAACATTAAATTAAACAAACTTTATATATCAAAAAGTTTTCCTCATCTGTTTGAGTTCACCTTCAGCTTCAAAACCAAGCAGAGGAACAGACTGGATGTAAAGAAAAGCCTGGTATCAGCTGTTTTTCACACTGAGCTATCAGAGCTCATCAAAGCAGCTCAGGTTTCGTGATGAAAACAAAGTAAGACTAATGAAGTCAGTCTGACTATAATTTTTGTTTTGTATTTTATTCCCAATTCATCAAGTTTAAATGTGATTATAAGGGAGTTGCTCAAAGGAGCTCCAGTTTCATAAATAAAGCCTAAAGAATTAAATGATCAAATAACATGATTGAATTAAATTGTTTTTATTTTATTTCTATTATTTTGTCAATGCTTTTGACTGAGAGGGGAAATCGTGGTAAGACAAAATGCACAAAAGTGTACACAAGTCCAAAAAGGTTGGGAAACACTGATTCAACCACAGTGTTTGTTTTTTTATAGACTGATTTTTTCATCTTCGTCTTTCTGTAAGATGAGTTTAGTTCCTTACAGGAGAAATTTGGTGCTCTCCCTTCTGCAGTCATGGCTGCGACTGGTTTGTTACCTTGCACCTGCCCCTTTATACATGCACATTCACAGATTCATGATCAGTCAACACTGGTGTAAGTTAGCAAGTTGATAACCAGCTTTGTGGAACAGCTGGTTCTGATGTTGTGAACTGTTTAAACCGGATAGACTGGAAATAATCCTCCTAGCTTCAGTTTGCCTCATGGTATGGGCCTCAGGTGATTAGACCCCTGGCTGTGATGTGGAGCAGGGAAAAGAAATGGTTGTAACTACAGTACGTGTAATCTCTTGTTTTTACACTCTGTACCTGGATTATCCATCTCTGGACATATTTAACCTGCTCATGCATTTAGCTCCAGCTTCTGTTGGAGTGACAAAGGCTGATATTTCTTTGTTCAAATTAAACTTTCTAGTTGTTGTTTTTTGTCCCGGTGAGTCGCTCCCACCCAGATCTGAGAGGTCCATTCCAAAATGACAGACTCCAATACCAAAATACTATACCCACCCCATGGTTTTGAGACGTTGTTTTGACCAAACATTTATTCTGTTAAACTTGATTCAGCCAGCTAGTCTGTTATTGAGTCAGTTGAAACAGATTTTCCAAATGATTTGCTAAAGAGGCCAGACATTTTTGTTTACAAAAATTTTAACAAAAGGTAATTTCTATTTATGTCAGACTGAAGAGATTAAGGGTATATCCGTATTTCACGTCCTGTCCCGGGTTTTTTTTAGAAAGTGAGGAAATGTCCTGATTTCACTGCGCACAATGCTCCGTGTGACGTAATCCCTGAGCCGCGTCAGTGCGGTGCGGCAGAGCTGTTCGAAAACCTGGGCTGCATCCTCCAAGGACGCGCTCTACTTAGACTGGATCCTTCGAAGTCCTTGAAAATAAGGACACCGGAAGAGTTTTGTCTGTAAATTCGAACAGGTCCTCCCTTCAGCGGGTTTTACCGCCGTATGCTCTGTTGCTTAGCAACCGTGAAAGTTGACACTCTTCCCTATTATGTTATTCTTATACATTTTTCTAAGGTCCTCATTTGTGTGACCATTTTCAATAATCTTTCTGCTGCTGTAAATTTGCCCATTGTGGGACAATAAAGGGATTTTCAATTCTATTCTATAAAAGGGTTAAAAATATATAAGTAAATCTAAACAATGTATCTACAAAATGTATCTGCAAAATCTCTAATATTCAACAACAAAAAATACTTAGTTAAGCATATTGTGCAAAACAACAATAAAAAAATTAAACTCATAACTCCTATTAAACCTTTAGATAAATCAAACACTACCGCCACAGATCTGACTCTATAACCATTAAAACAACTTGTAACAAGTAACATTTCCTCTCATCACGGAGCAAATCCCGATGATGAGACATTTGTTCTTTCAATCAATCCATTGGACCCTGTAAGTATTTCAAAGCTTTGCGTATTATTTTGTTTTATATTGAAACTCTGCTTTATACTTCTTCACAAACTTCCCATGACCATGACTGGTATTTATTGGTTTTGAAGTTGCTAAAGTTTTCTAACAAACTTTTATGATTTTCATGGAACTGCAACATTTA